GAAAAATCATTAGTAGCAAGACTGAAAGGTCAGTAAGAGTCAGGAAGATGAACGAACAAAGGTACCCATTGACTGTTACTTCTAAGCACAAAAAAATCATCTACCTTTATGAAACGATTGTCCTCATTTGTGGAGTCACTGGAGTCTCCAAGAATTTATCCGAGCATATCGCCAATATTCCAAATGACCAGAAATAGAAATAATAAATTCTCGGTAGTCCTTAAGCGGAAAATTAGTCTCTTTCTTTTTTTTGGTCTTGATTAAATTTAATCAATCCGATTTAACCTCAAAATTTCAAGAATATGGATAAAGCTGTTTTGACTTATTCCCATTTATTATTTTATCATTTTCAGAAGTAATTAAACAATCCATCGCAGGAAAGCGTATGTGTGCTACTCCAGTATTCCAGTAAAAAGTGATAGGCACCAATTACTTTGGAATTAGAAAAGTTAAGATGTGAGGGGAGGTGGAAAATTTGATGTTACGGGGCTACAGAGATGTACAAGTGAACACGAATTGACCTGAAAATGCTTTAATATTTGGAATTGATGGAGGGTGAGAGGGGTGAGAGGGGAGGGTAAGTTGAGAGGTAAATGCTGTCTATACGACTGTCGAGAATCCCATAAACAATAAAGACCTGGTTTCGAATGTCGGTTATTGTGATGCCTGAGAATGCCCTGGAAACAGTGAGGTGTATACAAATGTATATACCTGTATTACCGTAATCACATCGAGATTAGAGGTAGACTAACGACCATGGGTATTAACCGTGACGGTCACTTTTACCTGTAGTTCCCTTGCCGACGTTTACCACTTCCAAATTATTCCTCTCTTTTCTCGGATCGTGTCTAGTACAAAAGCTCCTCCTCGCTAAAAATTTTTTCTCCCAATTTTTCTCGACAATCAAATGACACATTTGATCATATTTGGGGCATTATTAGGTTGCTTTTTTTGGATATGAAGTGTTTCGTATTTGTACTGTATTATCAATTAGTGACCTTCACCAAGATATAGAATAAAGAAACCGATAACAGGCTTTCGATCATGAATAAATTGAAATGAATAATACATGCCGCTGTCGTGTATCAAAAGGAGTAAATCATTCACTTGTGCTCAACAATAACTTTCAACTATGACTTGGCATTATAAGTAACACATGACATCGGGACGATGTGATTATAATTACCTAATCGGTGGCTGGCCTGCAAAATTGCGTATACACTTATGTCTGCAGTATGACCAGAATATTGAAACGTCGATAAATCTAATCTCAATATCCTCCGTATCATGAATTTTCAGTAAACAAACGTTATCTTCAGAATTGATAGATAACCACCACGCGTAACGCTTTCATTCGCCATTATCTCCAAGCTATCATTTAAATATTTTTTTCAACATCTGTATTTAACAATAAAGCGTTAAGGAATTTATATGGTTTCGGCCCTTGACGCGAAGCGCTTTAAAGACAGAACACCTTCAACCGGCACAACCTATTCTTTTTTTTACTCCAGAAATAAATTTCAATGAATATGCATTCAAACTATTTCTTCTGCGACGAAATTCCAAGCCAGACATTCCCATTTTTGTTAAGCATTCATTGGTATTAACTTGAGAGAAGTATTCAATAAAAAAAAATCATATTGCTCCCGGCGTGAAATTTCTAGAAAATTTCCATTCATTTTCAATTATGACACGAGCCCAATGAAAAACATACGTAAAATACCCATCCCCGAAAGCGAGTGTCATAATTAAAGTCTAATTAAAATGAATTCTGAAACTCTGAAAAAGGTTCTGAAATGGAGGCACGATTTAAAAAATATAAATAATTATCCCGAGTGGATTGGCGAAAAAAATGAATTATTATTGTATTAAATAATTCTTCGGAAGCCTGCGAAGTGAATTTAAAAATTGCGGAGGGTATATAACAGGAGAAATAAAAGACTTACTTTCTCAACCACTTGAACACCCCCATCATCCCCATCATGCATCTGGCAATGCGGTATATGGCACTTAGGTTGGTCTTGAAAATAAAACTGGTCAATGTAAATAGTGTAAATACACAGAAACTGGTAGGACAAGCGTTGTTTGCTGATTCTCGACTCGAAATGATACCGGCACCTTTCCTGGTGGCTCTATGGGCCCGTACTCTACGCTCGTTTACTCCTCGTCGGCCTTCCCCATGTCCCCCACCATTTCTCCAATCACACTTCTCCAGTTTCTTCACTTCCAACATTTTCTACATCAACTCAGGAAATAGACTCGCTTTCTTTCTCTGCATCCCACTTTTAACACTAATTAACCCACCAGATATCTAACTCAAAAAATTATTAAATACTTTAACATTAATGTTTATCAGATTTCACTGTTTAATGGACGTGGATATAAATTTTTTTTAGAGAATTATTTGAATAACTTCGGTGCTTATAGTTTGTACGGCGTCTAATATCTTCGATTAGTTCGCATCGAATAATTATCGAGTTCTTCGAATCGAACAGTCGGTGCTCTATTTTGGCGGAAGTATTCGAATATGGGGGAAGAATATTCATTGACAAGTGCTCTATAAGGACAAGTGCAAGTGTAATCGTCTCATCGTGATCAAAAACACTGGGCAGGTTTAATCGAGAAAATGGAATCGAATGTTAGTGAAAAAATTGACGAACATATTAATTATAATTAGCATAATGATTCTCCGACGCAATATAATCGCAATTATTGAAACCTAATGAGGATTTTTTGAAAATGATTCAATGGAAGAAGAATAAGTAAATCAATATTTAAAGAAAACTATTTTTTTTCAACATATAATATCATTAAATACATTTTTTAAACGGAGTTATGCAATTCAACAAATAGAAGCTAGTGTTTCAGTGAATATTCATATCTATCTTGAGAGTATAAACAAGCACTAAAAATCCTTATGCTCATCTATTGAAGATTTACAATTAATTACAAACAGTTATTAAATTCATGAAGGATTGACATTTGTTTAGATAGCAAGTAACGACAGGTGAGTAACGATAATTAAAAAATATCACAATTTTTTAAATTTAATCAAATTAGAAGTTGAGGAGAAGCGGTAACTGCGTTTATTGGTCAGATGCTCTAAGGTCCTTTCATTTCCTGTTTCACACAGTATTTGAATGCTTCCCATCCCTCGCCTCTTGGCTGCGACTGAAAATAATACAACAATGAACGATTAATTGTCAGGAAGGCAGCACAATAAGCTATAACAGGTCCCTGTGAACTTACCTTGGACCCACGGTGAAGTCTATCTTTCATAATTGCAATAAATTCCTCATAGGATAATTGTCCATCACCGTCAACATCGAAAAGAGCGAAGACTGTGTCGACTATGTGATGGGATATACTGGTACCAGTGCAGATTTTCACAGCTCGAAGGAATTCATCTGCGTCAAAAAAATCAGATTGAAATTGTTCGATTAAATCCATAAGTTTTATTTTTTAAATTCAGTAATTAAGGTCGGGGGGTAAAAGTTTAGTTTTTCGTTATACCTTTAGATATTGGATGATTTGCCAGCGTGTACATTCTCATAGCAATCGAGAAGTCATCCAAACTGTTCAGGAACTGATAAAATTTTCGAAATTCGTCGAACGTGATATCAATACTGTACATCGAGCGATTCAGAAGTCTCTCCAAATATTTATCATACCTGGAAACCATTCCAAAAGAACAACTTCTTCGTAATAAAAAAAAAAAATACGAGAATATATAAAAGTACGAGTGAAACTGACTCATCCATATCCAGGTACGTGTATCTCAGCAGAATCTTAGCAAAATCCATTTCAGTAATGGTGTGTTGGCCCTTGCTGAATTCGCTGAATTCCAGCTCCAATACCTCATACTGGAGATTCTCCATGAACTGTCGGAATCCTTCGTACTTCAGCTCCTTCGTTCCATCCTTACCGAAAAAATGGACCATCAGAGTTGTATCCACAGTATTTCGACGTTGCAATCCCTAAGTAAAAAAAATGGAAGACTCTTCATTGACATTGATTAATTAAATAATAGCCTTTAAAAAACCCTCATTGCAAAAGTTCACGAGAAAACTTGAGCCCATATTTTTATTGCCTACCTGATCCTCTTCTCCCAACATATTCTCATAGTTTCTCGCTCTCTTGCCTGCAGTAATCTGGAATGGAACTCCACCATGACGTCCTCTCCATGCATGGCTAAAGATATTCTCCATCTGGAAATGCGAAATTCACAGTGACTCTCTCTAGTCACATCATCGTACGACGAGTTAATGAATCATCGAGTTAGTAGTATTTGAAGAAAGATTTTCCTATGTGAAATTGAAAGGAAATTAATTAGTAAACGAACGTTTAGCATGATACATCCAGGGGAAGATCTGGAAACACCGTGGAAACACACTGGCAAGATCTCACAGTAGACTTCCAATGGTAATTAAACTTACGTAAGAATTTGAGAATGATTGGGGCGATTCTTTCTGATGACTGTCTCGAAGTTTTGCTCGGATGGCGAGGGCCTCTTCACTCGGGGCAACGAGAGTTCGCAACTAATTGCATGGAAGAAAGTAGAGGTGTCACAATCAAAATTGAACGAAAGAAAAATCTCCAACAAAAAAGAACTCATTGAATCAGTTGTATGAAGGGGAATAAATTTTATACAAATGAAGAGAAGGAGGTATGAGTGGTCCAGCTACTTACGATACAAGTGCGAAAAGCCGCTTACCGCTCACAAGTGCGCTGTAAGCGGTACCCCGCACAAATATCGTCCCAATTTTTTTTTTCCCACATGTGAGTGTTATTGACCGTATAAGTCACGGATGTCAGCGCTGTCAAGCTGTATTTTTTGCACTGAAAGCCATAACTTGTGCGATCGTTAACACACTTCTAGGTGATTTAAACGAAGAACAAAACAATTCGAACAAATACATAAACAAAAGGGTACATAAACAAAATGAGCTAGTCAATATTTTATCTAGTAACATTTGCCAAAGAAAGTTGATCAAAAAAAGTTGACGAGTTTATGCATGAGGAGAATTTAGTGCGTAAAGTGTTCTTCCATTTTGCGCACTCAAGTCTCATTTTACTCAGGACCGTACATTTTCCACACCCCGTGTACAAAACAAACCCGCTGACAATGAGGTAGATAAAAAATGGGTGTAAAGCTCTAGGCCGGACAGAATTGTCTGAGGGTGGGTTAGGCTTACAGGTTTAGGCTTGTATCTCTTGATTAGCGCAATAATTCAGATAACATATCGTTAACCAAATGCGATTTAATAATGGAGTACAGTGAAGTCCTTTGTTGCAGCGTAAAAATATTACGTCCATCTGATCTACTGTAACTCGAATGGACCCACGCGATTTTGACTATTTGGGGCCAAATTTTTTTTTATTCTAATGAACGAACAACAAAAGACTAGACTGCGCAGATATTTGATTTGATAAACCTTTGATTATGAATTTCATGGAGAATTTTATGTAAAACGCACACAAATATAGGACCAGTTGATTAACTATGGGGATACAATCTGGTATCAGTGTCAGCTCAGATATGTGAGATGAACAATAAATCCAGGAAAGGTAAATGGAGATAAAAGCGAAAGTCCAGTTGCTCTGGGTTACTTCAGTTTTTCAATTTTCGCTCAATGCATTTGATTTTCTCTCGCTTGAACTCACGGCTCGCCTTGTAGAATCATCGAGTTCACGATCCTTCAGTCCACGAGCAAACAGCTTTCTTATCTGTGGATAACATTTTTTTCTTCATGCAAAAATGAATTGATGATGATGCTATGAATTCAATTTTTTTCGATAGTACGATTATATTATATTATAATATTTTTTTGTTGTAAGTGTCATAAATTTGGTTCAACAGATTTTTCAGGGTAGGGTCAAGCAAATCATAACAAAACCATTATGAAACATAATTTTTCACTCTTGAAGCTTCAGCCTCATTGAAAGTTTAAAAAAAAATTATGAATTTTCATTTTTCAATGCACTAGGAAGAAATTTGTTGATCAATTCACATATTCCGACTCCCCTGCAGTAAATACTAAAGAAAATGACGAAACGAAACTATTGAAATAGTTTAAATAATATTTAATTGAATCCAGGAATTTTTCCTCTCTACGGAGCGTCATCCACTTGAAAAATTTTCACGCGATATCCAAATACACGATATCCAAATACGAGTACCATTAATTCATGTTTATAATCTAAAATATCTAATCTTACCACAAGAAATTCGTTCTTATCAACTCTCTCGTTACCATCAGTATCAAACATGTTGAATGCGATTCGGAAGCCAGTCTGTGGTTCTGCAAAGATAAAATAATATTTAGTGGCAAACGCCAGAGCAAATGTGAATATCAAACATGAGGCAATTAGTAAAAAAAAAATAAATGTATAATAGAATTTATGGAAGGATTCAATAGATACGAGAGTGGATAAAAATGAGGTAGTTGAAGAAGAAAATATAGCGAGAGTGGAAGAGTGTTGCAACGCTTGGTAAAATCAAGAGTCTGCTTCTCTGGGTGTAAATGCTGGTGCAAGGATTTACGGGTCGAGGGGGAAGGCCGTAACTTGTCTAGGAGTTTGCTCAGTATAGGTAATTTGCACTGGAAATTAGTAGCGTGATCGGCGAAGAAGACTCACTTGTGAGTATGGATAGCAAAAACAGGTACTCCGTGTATGAGACGATCCCTGGAACACAAAGAAATGAGTAAAATTGCAGAATAGATAGTTAGGATCAGTTGTCCATGTATAAGCCATCAAACGAGTTCATAATATTTTTATTTTTCCCATGGAGAAGGCACTTTATACACTCATTATAGATAATTTCGTAATGAATTAGGGGATTCGCGAAAGATGATTAATAGCAGTACTTTTAATAATACGGACGTCCACTTAGGGGATTAATGGAGATGTTAATTCAGGGAATAAAATAAAGTCACGCAATCTATAATTTATTTAATATATTTAATATATTTTTTTACTTGTCAAGAAAATGTATGGAAAATTGCGGAAAGGTCTCGGTGGTTGACACATTGCAAATCATTATTTTTCAAATGACTATTTTTGCCTCAAATCTCTATGTTGCCGACT